GCATCAGATTGGAGAGGACAGTGCCAGGTACACCACAGCAGAATGGCATAGCAGAACGGATGAACAGAACGTTGACCGAGATAGCCAAAAGCATGTGTTTACAAGCAGGACTTCCAAAGCAATTCTGGGCAGAAGCAGTCAACACAGCTGTCTACTTGATCAATCGGGGACCATCAGTGCCTTTAGACCACAAATTACCTGAAGAAGTATGGAGTGGAAAACAGGTAAATCTTTGTCACCTGAGAGTATTTGGATGTGTTTCATATGTTCATCTGAGTGATCATGCAAGAAACAAGCTTGATCCTAAATCATTGAAATGTTTCTTTATTGACTATGGTGGTGATGAGTTTTGCTACAAGTTCTGGGATGAGCAGAACAAGAAAATCATCAGAAGCAGGGATGTGGTCTTTAATGAAACAGTCCTCTGCAAAGATCGTGATGTCGTTCAGTCCACTAGTTCGGTGTAGTCTGATCCCACATACTTCGAGTCAGATGATGCCTCAGATGGAGGTAATTCCGAAGCCAGTTCTGATGAAGAAGAAGCAGAAGAAGAGTTGATGGATGAGACTACCTCAGAGGAGGCAAATGAAGATGGAGAGCCTGTTTCGTCCGTTAGAGAGTTGAGGCGGTCAGCAAGAGTCCCCAAGCCTAATCCGAAGTATCCATCACTACAACCCAGAGGTCATCTGAACTACCTGCTACTGAGTGACGGTGGAGAGCCAAAAATTTATGATGAGGCACTTCAAGTGGATGATGCGAGTAAGTGGGAGCTTGCTATGAAAGATGAAATAAAATCCTTGAACACCAACAAGACATGGGAACTTGCAAAGCTACCAGCGGGGAAGAAGGCCTTGAGCAACAAATGGGTGTACAGAATTAAGGAGGAACATGATGGTTCCAAGAGATACAAGGCTAGATTGGTGGTGAAAGGATTTTAGCAGAGAGAAGGAGTTGACTACACAGAGATCTTCTTTCCTGTAGTCAAACTGACTACCATCAGAACAGTCTTGAGTATTGTTGTAGCTGAAGATCTACATCTCGAGTAGCTAGATGTAAAGACAGCTTTCCTCCGTACGGTGACCTAGAGGAAGAGATATATATGCAGCAGCCAGAGGGGTTTACTCAGAAGGGCAAAGAGAAGATGGTGTGCAGATTGAAGAAGAGCTTGTATGGTCTGAAACAAGCTCCAAGGCAATAGTATAAAATGTTCGATGGATTCATGCACAGGAACGGGTACTCCAGGTGCAATGCTGATCATTGTTGCTTCGTCAAGGAGTTTGACAACAGTTATATAATTCTACTTTTATATGTCGACGAGATGCTAGTAGCCGGTTCAGACATGAGAGAGATCAAGAAGCTGAAGAAGCAGTTGCCGTAACCTAGACAGAAATCCATCTAGATTGGTTTTACTACAACCTAGACGAAAAATCATCTAGGTTGGTGCAACCTAGATGGTTTTCCGTCTAGGTTGAACCAACCTAGACGGTTTTCCTTCGTTGTCAACCTAGACGGAATTCCGTCTAGGTTGCTAACCTAGACGGAAATTACAAAAACCGTCTAGGTTGCTTTCCGTCTAGATTAGCAACCTAGACGGAATTCCGTCTAGTTTGTGACAATCTAGACGGAAATATTCTAGATTGAGCAAACTAGACGGATTTCCGTCTAGGTAAACCAATCTAGACGGAACATAGAGCAACCTAGACGAAAATTTCCGTCTAGGTTGCTCATTTTTCTACTAGTGTGAGTTTGACATAAAGGATTTAGGCGCAGTGAAGCAGATATTGGGGATGAAGATCAGTAGAGACAAGCTCTTGGGCATACTATGGCTATGCGAATACATTAGGCGGGTGTTTAAGAGATTCGGGATGAGTGGTGCTAAGGCCGTTAGCACACTGTTAGCTAGTCATTTCAAATTGACTAAGGAGCAGTGCCCTGAGACTGATGAAGAAAAAGACTACATGGCTAAGATTCCATATGCTTCAGCCATTGGAAGCCTCATGTACGCCATGGTATGCACGAGACCTGACATTGCCCATACAGTGGGAGCTGTGAGCATATTCATGTCAGATCCAGGAGAGCAGCATTGGGAAGCAGTAAAGTGGATTCTAAGGTACCTACGAGGCATAATAGAAGAATGTTTATGCTTCAAGAGAAGTAAGTTAGTTCTGCAGGGTTTTGTTGATGCAGACTATGTTGGTGAGATAGACCAGAGAAGGAGCACTGCAGGATACGTGTTCACTTTGGACTCTACAGCTATTAGTTGGGTTTCTCAGTTACAGAAGATCGTTACTTTATCAACGACAGAGGATGAATATGTTGTTGTGACAGAGGAAATTAAGGAGATGATATGATTGTAAGGTTTCTTGGAGGAGTTGGGACAGAAAAGTGAAAAGAATGTCTTACACTGTGATAGCCAGAGCGCAATTTATTTGACGAAGAACCCAGCTTTTCATGCAAGGACCAAACACATACAAGTCTATTATCACTTCATAAGATCAGCGTTGGACGAGGACATGTTAGAACTTGTGAAGATTCAAGGAAGCAAGAACCCAGCTGATATGCTTACTAAGGTTGTCACTACGGACAAACTGAAGTTGTGTTCAACTTCAGTTGGCCTCAGTACAGGTTGTCACTACGGACAAACTGAAGTTGTGTTCAACTTCAGTTGGCCTCAGTACTTGATGATATGGAGGTCGTCGTCGCAGAGAGAGATGATAGAGATTGATAGTTAGTCTCCAAGTGAGAGATTGTTAGGATATGTGAAGCCTAACTATCAGACTTTCCCTATACTTCAGATTGAAGAGGAAACAGAAAAAGTTGAAGGAATCGGGTCAACGGCGATGAAGTTCAAGCAAAACGACGAAGAACTCAATTTGACAGGATCACGGTCGGCCGCGCATGAGCATACGTGCACAGCAAGGGTGCACAGGTCAGAAGTTCATCGCGGTCGACCGCGCATGACGCAGCGGTCGACCGCGCATGACGCAGCGGGTCGACCGCCAAAGCTCCTGAGACTTCTTGGGCTTCTAGCGTTTTCACGGTTGACGCGTGAGTGGTGCGACGGTCGACCGCCAAAAGTCCAGAGAGAAACCATCAGCAGCAGACCTCATCGCGTCAACCGCGAGTGGCGCAGTGATCAACCGTCAAAAGTCCAGAGACTTTTCTGGATTTTGAGCAGCTGCGCAGTCGACCGCGAGTCGGGTTTTGGCCCAGTTTGTTTTTTGATCCGTTTCCTATTCCTGTTTGTAATACCCTTATATCTATAAAAAAGTTGATTAGTGCATGATGTAATTAAGACGAAAATAATAAAATTTTCTCCTGCGACGGCCGTGGACGTAGTTTCTCACATTGAAAAGCGAACCACGTAAATCTTGTGTGTTTATGATTGTGTTTTTCTCTATCTCTCTCTCACAAATCTCTATTTCCAAATCGCATCGGGGGGGTGCATCCCCAACAAGAACATACTACCCACATAGTTGTTGCAGATGAAGATATACCCTAGGTTTTTTTTTTGCACTGTTATCGGCTAAATACCCATATTGGTATTTTAATTCAACCCTATTTCCCAACAAGGTATTTTAATTAGGAAATTCGGCGATAAGACATTTTAATTGAATAAAATTACCATTTAGGTCCTTTTTCTCGTCGGCGGCCACTTTTCCGGCGAAAACTCATCACGTGCGTTGCACGTGGGGGATTAATCTGTGTTTAAGATGCTGATTTAGGTCTGTTTTCTGACGTGGCAGGGAATTAACTCTCTCTCTCTTCTCTCTCTCTCTCTCTCTCTCTCTCTCTCTCTCTCTTTCTCATCTTCTTCCCCTCATTCTCAGGTTCGCTCTCCGTCTTCCTCTTCCTCACGATCCTCCTGATAACTTCTCTCAACGTAAGACTCCTCATCCCCTTCGCCCGCAAGTTCACGCACAACGTTCAAGGCATGACCAGCCTCCAGCGCGTCGCCATTGGGCTCGTGTTCGGAATGCTGGCAATGGCTACGTCCGCGGTCGTTGAGAACAAGAGGAGGCGGTTTTAGGTCGAGCGCGGCGTAAAGATCAGCTGTTTCTGGCTTGTTCCTCAGTACTTCCTGGTGGGCACCGGCGAGGCCTTTGCTTACGTTGGGCAGCTGGAGTTTTTCATCAGAGAGGCTCCGGACCGGAGAGGATGAAGTCGATGAGCACGGGCCTGTTTCTGACGACGCTGGCGCTGGGGTTCTTCCTGAGCAGCGTGTTGGTTTCCTTGGTCGACGAGGCGACGAACGGAGGTTGGATCAGGAACAACTTGAACAAGGGGAGGCTGGTGTAGTGGGAGGAGAGAGGGAGAGCTTGGGGCGCCGGAGGAGTTGAGGGCGGAGCTCAGGGGTTTCGGCAGTTGGAAAGCGACGAGCTGGAGATCAGGCGGAGGCAGTGCGTGGTTGAGGGGGCTGGGCGGTCAGGGGTGCAGAGAGAGAGAGAGAGAGTTAATTCCCTGCCACGTCAGAAAACAGACCTAAATCAGCATCTTAAACACAGATTAAGCCCCCACGTGCAACGCACGTGATGAGTTCTCGCCGGAAAAGTGGCCGCCGACGAGAAAAAGGACCTAAATGGTAATTTTATTCAATTAAAATGTCTTATCGCCGAATTTCCTAATTAAAATACCTTGTTGGGAAATGGGGTTGAATTAAAATACCAATATGGGTATTTAGCCCACTGTTATCCTCAGATAGACTACTAATTTCAGCTAAGGGGTAATATCTACCATAATTTTCATCAACAGTGGAAGAGTCAAAAAAATTAACGCCGATGGTCTATCTGCAACAATGATACTAACTATAGGGTAGTAAGTTCAAAACACCAATAATGCAGGGGCTCTATGTGCGATTATTAATGCTTTATGTACTCAAGACGCCTTATACTTGTATTTTGCTTCTTATTTAATTCTGATATTTTTCTGTATTTTTTTCTCACATAGATCTACATGAAATTGATATACCCTTCATCTATTGTTTTCTACATGGATTACAGGCTTCAATATCAAATTCAATCATGAGCAATCCAAGGCCACGTCTCCTCCACAACTGGGCAACTTCTCTCTTAACCATAGCCCATAAAACGTACCAACAAGCAGAAAATTCCCCCAGTCCTCTCGGCTCCATAACCAAAACCCTAGCCTCATTCACAGCCCCCATCATCTACCCCTTAGAAAACCGATACCTCTCCCTCCTCTCCTACATCGATGACCGCATCCTCTCACTCGAGGACTTCACCATGACTCTATTCCCTCCATCCTCCTACCTCTTCTCCATGGTCAACGAGCTCGCCCTCCTTCCCGAGTCTTTCCCAAAATGGTATGATGAAGCCATTGAAACCCTAGTTTCTCTTATTGAGCCAATGTTGTCCAAAATAGGAAGCACTACATCTTGGGAATATGGTCATGATAAGGACCGGATGATGCTTGATATAAAGTGTGACGTACAAGAGAAGAAGATGGTTGTTGTGCCGAAAGATGAGGCAGAAAATGGTGGTGAGATACTTAGTGTGGAGGAGTTTGGGGAGGAGAAGAAGTTGAGTAAGAAGATGGAGGAGGAAATAAAGGAGGTCGAGGAGACGTGCAAGGATATTATTGGAGAGTTGGAGAAGATGGGAATGGGGAATGAGAGGATGGGTGAAGAGAAATTTGGAGAAGAGTTAGTGGAGAAGGAAGTGAAGAAGGTGGTGGAAGATCAAATCTTAGACTTGTTTGAGGAAAGTTGGGGTGGACAGAGGAGAGTTGTTTACTAAAAGATTTGAGGGGAGGTGTCTCTTGATGTTGGTTGCGTTCGTTTGTGGTGTTATTGTACAAATTTTGTGTTACGTTGTGTGTTTTTGGTTTAGGTTTAAGTATGTGGAAGTTTGTGATATTTGTAGATTGGAATAAGAGGCAACCGAGGTGCCTGGCGAAGTTAAAATTTGTGGTGCTTATAAGTGTTGTATCTAATATCACACATAATATATGGCTTGTGTACGGTTTTGATTTGTTCCGTAGAATATATCCAGTTTGTTTTGTTCAGTTCATGCATGATATTTTGTAAAGTAGGACATTTGGTTATATATTATACTGCAGTGGTTTTTATTGCTCATGAAAATAAAATTCTATTTGTCATGATCATTTCAGTTCTGGTCCTGGCGGTAGAACAACTCTGGCATCGTTTAGGGTTACAAACATTGCTCTAACAAAATATGACAGGTAGAAAAAAAAAAAGTGATTCCTGGTTATGGAAACGGCTGCTGAAAATCAGAAATAAAGCTAAGGATTATTGTGGAGGAGAGGAAAATCTAATAAGCTTAATCAGCTCCTGTTGCAAGGACTCTAAAATCATCCTGTCAGAATTATATCATGCCTTAATCCCCACTACAAATAAAGTGTCATGGAATATAACAATCTGGGGGAGCCTAAATTACCCCAAGCACTCTTTCATCTCTTGGTTAGCAGTCCAAGATAGACTGTTAACTCAAGATAAGTTGCTGAGAAGAAGGGTCATCCAATCCAACCAATGTCTGTTATGTGCAGGTTCAGAAGCTGAAACTAGAAACCACCTGTTTTTTGAATGCAAGTTTTCGAGTGATGTCTGGAATCGAGTTATGAATTGGTTACAATTCAGTTGGAATAGTTGTGATTGGAATCTATTGATGAACTGGTATGAAGCTAACCGAAGGAGAAAAGCTTTCAAGATCAATGTTAAAAGGATGACTCTCACCTCCTCTATCTACAATATATGGTTGGAATGCAATGGGAGAATTTTTAAATAGAAATCCAAAACTGTTGAGCAACTCATCAAATGCATCAAATTGGAATTACTAACAGTAGTTCTTAACAGTGAATTACCTAGGGATAACAAAAACTGGTTGATTTCCTTATAGGCACAGCAGGAGCAGAAAACTAGTTGTGGTTGTCTTTCAACGTGGAGTTCATAGGAGGAGTATTTGGCTCATGGTCTGATCTCTGGATCTCTGCTATTCAGGAAATCATGTACAGGTTGTACACACCTGATATCTGTCTTCAGGTTGTGTTTTTTGTTGAAGAGTCAATATGAAGAGTAAAAATACTGTGTTCTAGCTCAAACAAAGATTTTCATTGAGCTTTAGTTACAAATTTTGTTATCTCACAAATGTGATGAGATTTTTGATGTACATACTCTTTACATATTGGTTGATGAATAAAATTTTTCATTTACAAAAAAAAATGGCTGAGTTTTGATCCGATTATTTGTAAAGTGACTTTATAGTTTGATTTATATTTTGTATTATCCTATATATATTATTATATATATTAGGGTATACTTTAAAAAGTAACATCAAATGACTTTAAACACTCCACATCATGACACGTCATCTTTTTCCTTCACAAATTTTTCTAACGCGTGTCATCCTCGTCTAATTGCTCGCTAGAATCTAAACACACCAGAAAAACAACATGTGGAATTTTCTTTTCTTTTCATTTTTTCTATTTTTAGATCTTATAATAAAAACTAACTTTAATTAAGTAAAACGAATATGCAAACAAATACATGGAATATTTTCAAATTTTAATTGATTTAATACTATTCCTTAAATCATGCACGGTAAATTTTAGATTTTTATAATCAAAACTAACCATAATTAAGTAAACAAATATGCAAAAGAATACATGACATATTTTTAAATTTTATTTGATCTAATATCGTTTCTTAAATCATGTACAATAAATTTTAGATTTTGTAATCAAAACTAACCATAGTTAAGTTATTGAATATGCAAAAGAATACATGATATATTTTTAAATTTTATTTGAATTAATATCGTTCCTTAAACTATGCACAATAAATTTTAGATTTTATAATCAAATTAACCATAATTAAGCAAACGAATATGAAAAAATATACATGTTATTATTATTATTATTATTTCTTTATTAAAGTACATGCAAAACCCACAAAGTTTAGGTACGAATACAAAGATCACTCATAACATGTCAATCTCTCACAACTTTCCATCCATTGTTCTAATTTGAGGGGTTAATACAGAATGTGACCCCTAATTAATACATAACTTTTTTCCTCGTAGTTCTTCCTTTATCCTTGCACAGGACCACTCATTTTCATCAGTCCACATCGTAGCCGTCTGATATCCAAATCAAGTTACTATCTCCTTCCATATCAGAGCAGAGACAAGGCAATGAAAGAAAATATGCTCAACGTCCTCTTCATTCTGATTGCACAAATATATAGACTAGCCTGAATAATCTCCACGTCCACCAATCTGTTCCAAGTCAAAAGTCTCTTCCACATAGCCATCCATAAAATAAAAGCATGCCTTGGTAAAAAAAAGGATGACACCATACTGTGTTTGTCCAATTCATAAGGGGAAAATCATGACAAAAAGTTTAAAAATATGCCATAGACATTGAAAACTTTCCACCAACCATCCAAGTAGATATGGAACGTAACATAGAATCAACAAAACTCTATTTTATAGAATAAGCAGATCTCTAATTTGCAAGAGCTTTTTCCGAACTCTTGATTGAATCCTCTAGTCATCAGCATGCTTCAAATAATGGCCATGAAGGCATTTGATCCACAGAAGATCTCGTTTCTTACGAATTGCCCATAGATTTTTTATCACTATCATCTTATTCCAATGCTGTGCACAAACCAATCCCAGACTTCCTCTGTTTTTAGGCAAACACATTGCATTCCAAGCAGTGATCGAAATGCGTTTTTCGATCCCCGGACAAATTTAGAACAAATGCTATCAATCTTCCTAATAGTCCTCTTAGGTAAAATCTACATACTAGATTAGTATGAATGCATGCCAAGAATAGACTTGACAATATCTAACCTCCCAGCATAGGACAATTTGTAAGAACCCCGTGTCTCACTCTAGCTGCTAATTTATCAAGCAGTTCTTCGCAATGATTATGAGAAATCTTACCAGCAAATAAGGGAACCCCAAAATATTTAATTGGTAAATTACCTTCAGCAGAACCAATATCATGCAGTATTCTACTCTCACCTTATTTTAAATACACCTGCAAGGAAAATATTGCTTTTTTGATGGTTAATAGCAAGTCCAGAAATCATTGAAAACCGATCCAATTTGTATGTCAACATGCGCATGGAAACAACATCAGCGCTTGCAAATAATAATAGGTTATCAACAAACACAATGTGTAAAATCTCTAAGGGAACAGCATTTAGATGGAAATGCAATCGCCCCCCCCGCCCCCCCCCCACCAACCACACCACACAAAAATAAAATAAAATAAGCATACTCCTAAAGAAATAGTCCATACAGAGCGCACAAAGATGTGCTCTATGGATATCCTGAATGTTGAGTTTGGGGGGAGAAATAGGTTAGAGACATTAGTTTTGAGGAGGAATTGGCTTCAGATCCAATCCATATAGTTACTCTTTACATATTCAGGTTCCTATACCTGTTGTTAGCTCAAGAAGTAAATCCGGAACTCAAGATGATAATTTGAATAACTCCCTATTCCAGAAGAACAAACTCACAACCTCAAGAACTAGTGCCATTAAGGAGATCCACGAGAGAAGAGAAGAAATGCTATTTCGGATGATTACATTGTATTTCCAAGAACATGAGGAAAGTAGTGGAATGTTAGAAGATGTTCAATCACTTCTCTCAGGCCATGAAAAGTTCTAATCTCAACAAGGGATTGATGCCATGAATGAAGAGTATAATGTCTATGCAAGACAATAAAGTTTGGGAACTTGTCCCATTGCCAGAAGGTGCAAAACCAATTGTTGTAAATGAATTTTTAAAACCAAACGGGATGCAAACGGTAATGTGGAGAGGTATAGAGGCGCGTCTTGTGGCTAAAGGCTATACTCAAAAGGAAAAATTGATTATACAGAGACTTTCTCTCCGGTTTCATCGAAAGACTCTTTCAGAATAATCATGGCACTTGTTGCTCATTATGATCTTGAGTTACATCAGATGGATGTTAAGACTGCATTTCTCAATGGAGACGATTGATGAGATGATCTATATGGTGCAACCAGAAAACTTTGTGTCAGGAGACCCAAAGAATATGGTTTGGCAATTAAGGAATCCATATATGGACTCAAGCTACCTCCCTCGTCAATAGGTATCATAAGTTTCGACAAATAGTCTACATCGGTTCGGTTTTCGAGATGAGCATTGTTGCATGACTGTGATATATCCAAGTTCAGTGGATGAGGTAAGTATATTTTGCTGGTTCTGTATGTCGATGACATCTTGCTGCCACTAATGATATAGGCATGTTTGCACAAACCAAGAGATTTCTATCAAAGAATTTTAAGATGAAAGATCTTGGGGCGCCTCTTTTATATTAGGATCCAGATACATCGAGATCGCTTCTCGGGGCTATTATTGGATTATCACAAAAGAGCTATATCGATAAGGTACTTAAAAGGTTTGGCATGCAAGATTGCAGACGCAGGTGACACCCCTGCTTGCTAAAAGGAGACAAGTTATAGTCTCAATGCAGGCGCCAAAGTAACCTATGAAATTTGTTCCGCATTTAGGCATGGGAATTGAGTTGATGTTAGCTAGAAATTATGATCCCGTCGGGCTGTAGAGGTGCGGAGGTATCCGTCGGCTGAGGGGGCGCACGAGGTGATCCCGTCTGGTTGCGCAGAGGAGGGCGGGAGGTGTCCCAGTCGGCTGCAGGGGGCGAGGTGATCCTGTCGCGGCAGAGAGGGCGGAGGTGATCGCCGTCGGCTGGGGGGATTTGAGATCTGGCGTAGAGAGAGGATTTGGGGAGAGAGAGGAACTCACGCGGTGGTAGGCGGCTCGCGTCGGAGAGAGGATTTGGGGAGAGAGAGGAACTCACGAGATCTGGGATTTGAGATCTGGGAGAGAGGAGGTCACGAGAGAGATTTGGGGAAGTTAAATGAGGAGGTCACGAGAATCTATTTGTGCGGACATTTTTCATTTAACTCCCTGCAGCGCACACTGTATGAAGTGTACCCGTGGGTGTGTTTTTAACTTTTGCTATTACTATGAAATTTAAATTTTTTGATGATA